TACTAGGTCATATAGTAGAGATTTTATTACATACTTCATTTCTTCCTAACATGTCCCTTAACAACCTATACAATTCCATCTGTGTCCCTTCATCAAATTTACATTAAAATAGGGAGGAAAATAATAGGAAATCCATGCAAAATCTACCCTCTAACTATTCCTTCACCTATCTTGTTATTATGTATCGTATCGGGTACTTTTTCAAGCTCTAACTTATCCGAACCGCTAGGACATGTTTTGTTACCCTTTTCTCGTCTCAAATAGGCCCACATGGAATTATATATGTTTGCTATGGAGGGAGAAATGCCTTTCCCTCTACCTTTCGTTAGAGTCATTTAATAATTATTTATTTTGGAGTAAATTTAACTGAATTCTTTCTACCGGCCTATAACCCTGACTCCCTATCTCTAGGTGCCAATACTGTTTCTTTATCATGGAAAATTTCTCTAATTTTTCTCAATTCAAAAGTCAACCCATAGACTGTTTATTTTGACTTTCCCGGATAATGCATAAATAAGCTTTAAATTCTATTAAAGCTAATCTCTTCGCTTCTTGGGGATAGAATTATTTTTAAAATCTATAATAATTTCTCAATGGCTTATCCCCTAGTTTCTATGACCATCTGAGGCCTCCTCATATTTTAAATAATTTAATTTCAGCTATTATTAATAATTAGCCAAAATCCTAGGAATTTCTCAAATTTACTCTAGGGGTATTTTCGTTATTTTTAGCCTTAAAGAGCCTCAGGACCTCATTCCTATTTTTTGGAATTTTTCTGAATTATTCAGGCCCACTCTCATCACTGCTCAATTGTCCTATTGAAACTTTTCAAATTTACATTTAGGTCCCTACTTAGGCTTAACCTCAAGAATCTTTCCACTGAGGTTCTCAACATAACCTATAGCCATTAATCACCTCAACTTCTTATACTAAACCCCTTGAGACTTCACCTAAGTTTCTATCTTTCTCTTTCCTTAGTCTCAGAGTACTTTCGCTTTGCGATTTAGTCTTTGGGAATCCCTCTGTCCCTCCAGGGAATTTCTAGGACTTTTGTTAGAAGAGATGTCGTACCTGTTATATCTCAGGCTATTTTTTACACCTCTGAGCCCAAAATTCAAGATGTTATAAGCCTTGACCCTCTTTGTATCAATTAAACCAAAAGTGTTACAAAATTAGTGACTTTTGAATTTTTATAGCAGTTTATCTCCACAAATAATTGTAAACTGCCGGCAACAAATGTAGTGCCAAGTTAGCACCATGTGGCAACAAGTTTGTCATGTTTTTATTGCCCAAACTGCTATGAACACCCACTATAAAGGTGTTGACAAGTTGATGCAAATTTGGTAGTAGTTATTCTTACATAGAACTGCTACAAAATTATGAAACAAACTAGGGCTTGGTCAAAGTGTTGCAAATTTATAGCAGTTTTACCTCTACAAATCCTAACCATTATAGTTTTTAATCGCTACAAAGAATTGCTACAAACACGTGTTTTTTAATAGTGTTAATGGTTCCATGAGTGACAAATGACAAAGGGCGTATTGACAATAAAAGGTTTGGCTACATATCAAAATTCGTCATACATATTAACACTTTTTTCATTGAACTTATTAAATGTTCTACATCAACATCATCTACAAGCTATTCAAATGTATTTCTATAAAACATAATTAAAAATTTCAAAACAAATGAGTGACTTTCTTTTTCCAAAAATGATGATGTCATTATCTTAAATTGCTCATAAATTGTAACTTCCTTTATGCTCTTCATTCTTACACTACCCCCAACATGTCACATATTATCTTCACTATCATTCATAAACTTCTCTAGGTATGAAAGAAAAAAATAGATACTTTCTAGATGTACTCGCCTTCTCTAATGTACATTTGCATAACACATCTATCATTAACAAATCAATCAATAACATTGGCAACTATTGTGGCCTTCATTGACAGCATATTTTTTAATTTTGTAGTAAGGGTTTTTACTCACACCATCTGTAATCCTTTTTATCCATTCCTACTAAATTATGCTCAAACAGAGTAAACCCACCATCAACCTACCCACGATATGCCCAAAAACATGGCACCCATCATCACCCTCCTTACCACAATGAAATCCCAATTAAAAATCACCAACACACATCAAAGCAAGAACACAAGCTTTAACAAAAATAAAAGCTTTGCATCAACTCAAGGATTTTGTACATGTCCACACACCGCAACCCAATTTGCAGCCACATACCCACACACCCAAACCTAATTAACTCGAGCTTTGCATCAGCTCAAGTGCACAAGGATTTTCTACTGAAGTATCATAAACAATATTAAAATCATAATGTGAACTTACCATATAGCACTTAGCTAGATCTTATATGGATAATAAAAAGGGGGGGGGAATGAACAAGTCCTCAAAATACAGCTATTTAGCCTCTTTTTTTTTGCCCCGTTGTTGGTTTGACGAGTTGTTCACTACACTACATTATGAAAACTCATCCCCCTATATATAATCATTCTCCATAGTGCATTTTGAGGACCAAGTTTTTTTTCCTCTTATTATCTACACAATATCCAGTACCATTTGGTGAGTCTTATCATCATTTTAATACTATTTACAATACTTCATCAGATTTTAAAAGTGTTACATTTTCAGGAACTAACGTTTTAAGACGAACTAAATTTCAAGAACTAACAGCACTAATTTAAATTTGATGGACCAAAATCAAAATAGACTCAAATTTCAAAGACCAAAATTTATATTAACCGGCCAAAAAATATGTTAACAAAAAAAAAAACTGAATTGCTAGCCATGAACTGAGAGGACAAGCAGAATGTAGTTAACGAATAGGGCAACTTTTCAAACAAAAAATATGAAGGGTGAGGAGTATAAAAAGATCAGATGTACTTCCACGTGATGGTGCGATCTTTTCTTGAAAAACAAATACCAACTTTAAAAAAAAAACTGTTGGGAAAAACCAGAGCAAGGGAAGTGAACGCAAGACCCGCTACTTTGTTGAAGGCCTAATAAAATGCAATCTCAAAAGCGTCCGCTGTGTAATATTATCTCACCTAAATGCAAAGATAACAATTCTATATTTTTTATAATAACAAAAAAGTTGCACTTTAACGCATTGATTTTTTCAGTCCATGGTAATTTCCTTTTCCGCTCTCAATAGTTGTATTGAAAGGCCATTTTATGCATATATATGCTACTTAATTATATATTTAAAAGTTGGAACTCATTTTAAAAAATCTTAATTACAATTAGATGAGAATTATTCACTTAACTTCAATTAAAGTATAATAACTCCTGCATCGGGATGCACGTGCTGGTCTTCAAAAAAGAAACAGAAAATATAAACAGCAGCAACACTACAACAATAATAAAAATATGATATAATCAAACTTGAGCTCCTCATAAGAAAAGAAAAAGTAGTTGCAGACTTGGAGCTGTGTCTTGACTTTTAAAGCATGAGAAAGTCACACCAGACTGCATAACAAGAGAAGAGAGATAAACGCATAAGAGGAAAGCAGTTTTCATATGAGAGAAGCATGTAATTGCCTTTTGCCAGTGAAGATAAAATTACAAGTATACCAATATTCATCGGATAAAAGGAGTAATGGGTCACTTCTCTGCTTCCCAGATGCGTGCGGAGTCTCCTCGTTAGGTGCTTTTATCTAATGTTTTCCCCTTAAGTAATACTAATGATTCCACCCAAAAGAGGGAGGGGAAATAATAATAATAATACTACATCCGGTCTTTAATGTAAGAACTTATTTAACTTTTATTTTCGTCCTAAATATAAAATGTCAATTTATTTTATCTTTCATATTTATCTATTTTTTTCTAAGATAGTCCTTATAAAAATAGTAGTTCTAGTCAATATATTTAATCAGCAAGGATATTTTAGAAAAGACAACACTTATTTATTACAAATAATTATCTCAACTAGTTTTCTTAATCTACTCAAATTAGTCAATTAGCTCTTACATTACAAATGAGGGTAATACTAATAACACTTTTCCGGGCAAAATAGCATTTCATATTTAGATTCTATTGAACATATAAGTAAAAATTCGTATGCATTTATATTACTTATAAGCTTTAATGATAAGTGACATAAGTATATTATTAGTAATCTAATTAACTCATCATAAAACTAAGTTATTTTAAGTTTATTTAAAATTATTTGACTTTTGAAATTTCATTTTTTATACATATTATTTTATATATATTATTTTTAATTTAATTATTACGTCATTGGCAAAAAAACTTAATTATTACGTCACCTGGTTAATTAGAAAATTTGACCAATCCAACCATTTAAATTGTAACCCGCTAACCTTTCTAGTTTGATGCCTAATAAGACTTTTAAAATATTGCTTTTTAATAATGCGAGTGACTGAACTTTCCTAAAAATCACATTTAAGAGCTCAAACATGAATTTTAAAAATTTCAAACTGACTTTTCTTTCATAAAAATATATCTAAATATGAATTGTATTACACCCACCAACTTTTACTCTAATTCCATTTTGCAAAATTCAATTAAAATAAAATTCACTTTTACCAACATTGATGGGTTTAAATGCTTTGTTAGTGAGACGGAGAGGCAATGCATGCTCTCACACGTTAATAAGTTTACGCAAAAATACCTACCTACCTACCTACTATATACATGTAGAGAGAGAGAATCGGCCTATACATATACAGACGCCTGTCCTGCACACGACTGGGATTCACTTGCTTTGTCATTGGGTTTGTTCTTTAATTTTCCGGGCAAGTCCCGCGGGATTATGCAGGGGACCTATAAAATATTTACAAGCCATGTAGCTCACATGCCAGACACAGGACACTGCTAACATGGGCTTCCATTTATGTCAGGCTAATTAAAAAACATCCATTAAATGTAAAAAAAAGAAAGAAAAGGGGGAAAAAAATTTCCAAGCGAAGATTAGAAGTAGAGAAAGATTATCCATATAATTGGCAGAAGATCTGAAGTCAATACAAAGGTACATTGCTTCTCAAATTGAAGCTTGATTGAAACTGTGAGTATGACCAGAGGCAGATCTAGCAAATAAAAAATATCACTATCTTGACTATTAAAGTTGGGCCCCAACCAGCTTCCCTATCTTACATGTGAATTGTTGACAAAAACTGTTGTCCAAGGGCATTTACAATGATATAGTGAGTGTAATTCTCAACGCGTATACTGTGTTATACTGATCATATCAGTAAGTGTACCCCTAAAATCCAAGCCTACATCTGCAAAAACTTTTAACTGTCATATAAACCTTGAACAAATCAAGGGAGTAAAGCCAACCCCATTTTGCTCTGAGGCAATCATACTCTATGCCAATATCCCTGTTGCTTCCTTTGGAATCAGAAAGAGAAAACCAATGGGCACAAAATTGCAGATTGCATGAATAATGATGCCAAAGAGAAGATTGTCAAATGATTGTGAATCAATGTTGAGTACCGAAGCCAACCCAGCACCCACAAAAGACCCCAATGTTGACCCTAAATTATTTATTGACATGAAGAGAGCAAATAGAGTCCCTTCTATTCCAGGAGGGCATAGCTGTCCAGATAAGATCAGGAAAGGCATGAACCTGCATTTCATGCAAAACAGGCTAAGAATTTGGGACTTATCATGCCAAAAAAAGGAAAAAAAAAGGAAGGGAAAAAAAGAGAGGGATCACTTCATATATTTCCTGCAACAAAAATTCAAGCCATGCAATGCACGTGCCTATGAAACAAGAAAACATTGCATGCATTAGGTGAGCAAAAATATGAGATAAAGTACTATGTAGAAATCCCTAGATAGAGAAGTCTAACAAAAAAAAAAAATCACTCGGTGGACCCCGTATACAAGAGTTTGGATGCCAAACATTCATGACTACGAATGTAAGCATGTCAAAGGTGGACTCCACCAGAAAAAGTATCTAACATGTTTAGTGTCTTATGACTTATAAAGATAACTTTGATCTGTGAAACTTTTATAGATATGTACCTAAGAATTTCTCAAATCAAACATCTTGAATCCTCAACTTCTAAGCTTCTAGTGTAAATTTATATTATTGGAAGACAAGGCCCAAGCCCAATAAGCTGTGTTTTATTTATCAATTTCATTCCTTGTATTTAGATTATTAATCTGATTAGGATTATTAGTCAGATTAGAATAGATTTCTTTGATTCTCTTTTTATCTTTGATTTACCCTAGCCAGTTATATATATTGTACTCCCTGGCTTCAGAAATATACACCGAACATTATTATTACTGCCTCTAATTCCTCATGGTATCAAAGCACCGAGAGAGAGAGAGGATAGAAGTCACGGTTTTGACTGCGACTAAAATCAGTCTACCTGGTTGCACGAAGATACGTCGACAACCGAGGCACTGGGCGCGTCTTCGTCTGGCATTAGGACCGAGTAATTGTCGCGCTGAAGCACCGAGTAACTGTCGCACTGAAGCACGATCATAATCGTGCAATCCAGGCAAACCCAACAGAGCAATTTGATCGGAACGGAGAAGTCGACTGAGACTGGACTGACCTGTCGATCAAAGGCACGATCGTAATCGTGCAATTTGGATTCGACTGAGACTGGACTGACCTGTCACACAAAGGCACGATCGTAATCGTGCAATCTGGTGAACACGACGTGAATAAGATGGATTCTAGAGAATTTCCGCCCTTGTTTGGCACAATGAGGCGATCTTCATCTGTGTTTACAGCAGGTACAGCATCGTCTACTTCTTCTTCTGGTTCGAGCTCTTCCGCGTCAAGCTCTTCTGCATCGGGTTCTCCCTCTTCAATGGGAATAGAACCTGGTATGACCACCGAGACACCACAGATGCTTGTTACTCACAAGCTGAATTGAAGTAATTATCTACAATGGTCTCAAAGCGTCCTGATGTACTTACGAGGCAGAAGAAAGGAAAAATACATCACTGGAGAGGCTCCACAACCAAGTCCTGATGACCCAAAGTATGATACTTGGTTCGCCGAAAATAATTTAGTAATGACCTGGCTATGTAGTTCCATGACAGTAGATATCAGTGAAGGCTATTTGCTTGCTAAGACAGCAAAGGAGATATGGGATGCTACAAAAAGAACATACTCGGCTATGGAGAATACTGCTGCTCTGTTTCAAATCAAGAAGTTGCAAAGGGAGTTGAAACAAGGAAATATGACAGTGACACAATATTATACTGCTCTCACACGTTTGTGGCAGCAGTTGGACATGTTTGATGTCCATGAATGGAAGTGTAGCAGTGATCCCAACTGTACAGGGAGCTAGTCGAAAAAGAAAGAACTTATGAGTTCTTACTTGGTCTTGTTGACGTGTTTGATGACGTAAGAGGAAGAATTATGGGAATGAAGCCGCTGCCATTGCTATTCGAAGCATTCAACATGATCAGGTGTGAAGAAAGCAAAAAACAACTCACCTTGAGTATATCTGCACCCTCAAAGTTCAACGTTAACAATACAAGGCAACAATGGATTGGAACAGAGGGGAAAGAAGAATTCCAAAGGATGGTGTGATCATTGCAACAAAAATGGTCATACTAGGGACATGTGCTGGAAATTACACGGCAAGCTAGCAAATTTGAAACAAAAACGAAGACCGGAGAGTGGGGGGTACGTTGCAACTGTTGAGAATGAGGAGAATGTAGAAACTCTTAGCCGAGAAGAGCTACAAGTACTCAGACAAATCCTTGAGAAGCATAATAACTCGACCTCTACCCCTAAAACAAATTTGGTAAAGTTAGGTAATTCTATTATAGCCCTAAATGCCATGGTAACCAGTGAAAATACTTGGATTGTTGACTCTGGAGCTACAGATCATATGACGGGTAATAAAGCTTTGTTCAGAATTCTAAAGTATTGTCATGATGAGAACCTTAAAGTAAAAGTTGCTAATGGAATCTTCTCTAAAGTCTGTGGTGTTGGAACAGTCGAGATTTCGAATAACTTAGAATTATAGAATGTTTTATTTGTCCCAGCGCTTGCATGTAATTTACTATCAGTGAGTAAAATAACTAAAAATCATCACTGCCGAGTGTTTTTTGATGAAACCGGGTGTGTTTTTCAGGATTTGACAACGAGGAGGAGGATTGGTATTGCTAAAGAATGGGACGAACTCTATTATCTTGATGGCTCAAGGATCACCAATAAATATGTGGGCAAGGCTTTGTTCAGTTCAAATTCTTCATATAAGGATGTATTATTATGGCATTCTAGGATAGGCCATCCCAGCTTTGATTATATGAAACACTTATTTCCAAATTATTGAATAAAAGTTCAGTTCCTTTCTTTTGTGAAACTTGCCAATTTGCAAAACAAACAAGAACTTCCTATCCCAAACAATCCTATAAACCAACCACACTCTTTACCTTAATACATAGTGATATTTGGAGACCCGCAAGAGTTAAATCAACCTCTATCGCTAAGTGGTTTGTAACCTTTATTGATGACCACACTAGAGTGACTTGGGTATACCTAATGAAAGAAAGATCGGAAGTGTTTAACATTTTCAAGAGTTTCCACACATTTGTGAAAACTCAATTCCAAGGGACAATCAAGATATTAAGAAGTGACAATGCAAGAGAGTACCTCAGTACAACCTTTAAGGAATTCCTTGACCAACAAGGAATCCACCATCAAACTTCATGTGCATACACACCACAATAGAATGGGGTAGCTGAACGAAAGAATCGACATCTCCTAGAAGTCACTCGAGCCATTATGATTGCTAGGAATGTTCCAAACCTGTTTTGGGGAGAAGCTATCCTCACATCAGCCTATCTGATCAATAGAATGCCCACAAAAGTACTCAACTACCAAACTCCCATCCAAACACTTCTTGAAACCTACCCAAATTCACCCCTAGTTTCAGACATTCACTTGAAAGTATTTGGATGTGTAGTATATATACACCAAGATGGGGGCAACAAACTTGAACCAAGAGCTCTAAAATGTATCTTTCTTGGATATTATCCTACCCAAAAAGATTATAAGTGTTATTGTCCCACAACCAGGAGAATTTATGTTACCAAGGATGCTGTATTTTCAGAAGAAGATTCCTACTATCCCAAGTTGCCCATTCAAGGGGAGAATTATGATACTGAGGAATGGTTAACTTTGGATGCTCCTGCAGTGAAAGAGTACCCAAGACATTTCAAGAGGCTATTAGTAACTCTAATTGGAAACGGGCCATCAATGAAGAGTTGGAAGTATTAAAACAGAATGAAACGTGGAAAATCACGGATCTACCCCTAGGAAAGAAGACCGTAGGGAGTCAGTGGGTTTTCACTATCAAGTACAATCCAGATGGAAGCATAAACAAATATAAAGCTAGACTTGTGGCCCGAGGATATATCAAAACATATGGAGTTGACTATCAAGAAACCTTTGCTCCGGTAGCTAAGCTCAACACCATTAAGGTTCTTTTATCAGTAGCAGCAAATCTGGACTGGCCACTTTATCAGTTAGATGTGAAAAATGCCTTTCTAAATGGGGACCTCAAAGAAGAAGTATATATGGAGATACTTGCGGGCTTGAAGAACCTGACAAATTGCTCAAAGGTTTGTAAACTCCGGAAATCATTATACGGGTTGAAACAATCCCCTAGAGCTTGGTTTGGAAGATTCTCGACAACTATGAAAAAGATGGGATACTCACAAGGGCAATCAGATCACACACTATTCATAAAGCATGCTAGTGATCAAAAAACTATCCTGATAGTGTATGTAGATGATATTGTGATCACAGGAAATGATGAAAGTGCCATAAGAAAGTTAAAGAGATCATTGGCAGCTGAGTTCGAGATGAAAGATCTGGGACAAATGAGGTATTTCCTTGGGATGGAGATTAGTAGAACCAAACAAGGAATAAATGTCTCTCAGAGAAAATACACACTGGACTTGTTGCAGGAAATAGGAATGCTTGGAGCAAAACCTATAGAAACTCCCATGGAAACTGAGTGCAATTTAGAATACAAGAAGGATGGGGTACCAGTTGACACTGGAAGATACCAACAGTTGGTAGGAAAACTCATTTATCTAGCTCATACACGGCCAGATGTAAGCTACGCTGTGGGAGTTGTAAGTCAGTTCATGAATCAACTGCAAGAACAACATATGGAAGCAGTGTACAGAATTTTGAAATATTTGAAGATGAATCCAAGAAAAGGGTTATTCTTCAAGAAGGGAGGATCTAGAAGAATAGAGATTTACACAGATGCAGATCATGGGTGGTCTTTGCTAGATAGGAGGTCCACTACTGGATAGATCACTTACTTATGGGGAAATCTGGTTACCTGGAGAAGTAAGAAGCAACCAGTAGTTTCCAGAAGCAGTGCTGAGGCAGAACTGAGGGCACTAGCCGTTGGGATCTGCGAAGGGATCTGGATAATTAGAGTTCTAAAAGAACTAAGACTAATGCATACTGGACCAATAAAGCTTTGGTGTGATAGTAAGTCAACTATAGAAATGGCCCTAAATCCTTTGCATCACGACAGGACGAAGCATGTGGAAATTGATAGACACTTCATAAGGGGAAAAATTAAAGGTGGTATCATTGACCTATCCCACATCCGAACAAAAAATCAAGTGGCAGATTTGTTTACTAAGCCATTACCCAGAGACTCATTTGAAGGATTAAGGAGCAAGCTGGAAATGGTCGACATCTACTCACCAGCTTGAGGGGGAGTATTGGAAGACAAGGCCCAAGCCCAATAAGCTGTGTTTTATTTATCAATTTCATTCCTTGTATTTAGATTATTAATCCAATTAGGATTATTAGTCAGATTAGGATAGATTTCTTTGATTCTCTTTTTATCTTTGATTTACCCTAACCAGTTATATATATTGTACTCCTTGGCTTCAGAAATATACACCGAACATTATTATTACTGCCTCTAATTCCTCATATATACAATTACTAAAGAAGAAAAATGAGTGGAACAAAACAGAGCAAGATAAATATGCTAACTTTGTAGCATGGTAAGGTTAGAGTCATGAAAATTGAGAGAAAATCGTCATGTTTATTTATCGAAATTATTCATATTATATTAGATGAAAATGTGGTGCAAATGGGGAAGCATTGCGATCAAACAAATTGATAAATTAAATGCTTTTGCAAACTTAACTAAGTTTTGCTTAGGAATAACCTCTACCTTCCCAGCAGAACACATCTTTTAACAAAAATAGGGAAGAAAACTTCAAAGAGGAGATAAAACATACTTAAATTGATTGATTGCATCACCAAGAGCGGAACCCCAAAGTACCATAGTCTTGTCTGATATTCCATATGTAATGCTTATCCTAGAGACCACAATGATTTGCTGAAGATTCACCAAGGACAAACCAACATGAGCACACCTGTAATCAAAATTAAGAAAATGATAATAATAATAAGCAATTGAGCATCAAAATGAAGATCAACCTCCAAATAGTTATGATCCTTGTCTGTTTACATGAGAATTCTTCTTAATTTCATGTACTTAAAGTGGTGATTGTAAATGAAGGTTCCCAACATAAGTCCAAGCCATCCAAACACACGTGCAGTTCCCAGGAAAGATGCTTGCAACTTCAGAACTTCCGTTTGATAGTAGAACACAACTGTTGAAAGATCAGGATTGATAACATGGGCGAGAAAAAACCAAGACATTGGTCTGTCCATCCAATACAAAATAAGGATTAGTACCTACTATGAATAGAAGAAAAAAAGACAAGTCGTATTGTGACAGTAAATTTATAGCAAGAATTTTGTTCACCATGCAAGGCCCCCCAATTCCCCACACGCAAAGTAGTAAATTGCAACTGAAAAACACCTTCCCCTATAAAAAAAAATGCAGGAATGTGAAAAAAAAAAAAATTCAATTCACGGATATTTTTAAATAGAATATGCTTTACTGTGAACAAACTACGAAGGGACAAAACAATGTGTTATACGCAGCATGTTAAATTTCACATTGACAAGTTTGTAAATGTTAACATTTCTTCACACTTCACATTTTTTCAGATTATTGTGATTGCTTTGAAACCTCATTAACAAAAAGATATAAAAAGGATGCAGGACAGAGGGAAAAAATATTTAAGAAAATAAATATTCAAAAATTCTTTGCCCAGAGAATCTATGTATAACATAAACAAGGAACATTGTTCATGAGTCATAATCAACAACAGCAGCAACAAGCAGCTTTTTCCCACTAAGTGAGCTAGCCATGTGAATAGCACAACTCTATTGTGCTCTACAAATGACTAAATCTTTGGATATACTGTTAACCAATAGGTCCCATTCAATAACTTTATCAAGTCTCTTTGGTCTTCTTCTATTCTTCTTCAAATGACTTAAAACCATTCGTTTTGTCCTCGTCACAGACCTTACTAGCGCCTCCAATTGACTTCTTTCTATATGTTCAAACCACCTCAAACTATTTTCTACCATTTTCTCTTCAATAGAAGTCACGACAACTCTTCCTCCTCGTACATATTTATTACAAATCTTTTCTTTTTCTTTTATGACAACAAATCCATTTCAACCTCCTTATCTCTGCTACCCCCAACTTTATGTTTTGGTTGTCCTTTTAAAGCCCAACATTCAGTACCATATAGCATCATTGGCCTTATAGCAATTTGATAAAACTTCCTTCTAAGCTCAAACTCCAGGAATACACAAGATTCACACTAGTTAATCACTAAACTGAAGCATTTAAGGCTTTTTTTAAAAATTAAAAAAAAAAAACTGACAAAAACTAAACAATCTCAGTCCACTCAAAAATTAAATTACTGACATGAAAAGATAAGATACTCCCAGATGTTATGGAATAATATTTTTCTACTTTCAGCTTAAAGGAAAAGGCAAATTTTCAGGATCCAGAAATATCCCGTCTAATTATATAATAAAACTTAAGGAGGAAGAATGCCCTCAGAAAAGATTGTCATATGGTTGGTGTTGACAAAACCCTAGATCACATAAATTTGTCAAAGTACCTTAATATCATCGGCTGTCTGAAAGCACAACACAAATCATAAATTGCTGCTTTTATAGAGTGACACTGCTTTAATGTCAAGGAATCATCTTTTTGAATGATATCTGATTTTCTGGTTCTTACAGCCCAACTTTTGCTATTCTTTTTCCCCTTCTTTCTTCTTTTGACACTTCTGGTATACTTTTTGATGAAATGACTATCTTCATCTGATGTAATGACATTTGAAGTTGAGACTCTTGAAATAGAATTCTCTTGTAAACTTTTGCCATCGATAGGCTTCTCAACCACGAATTGGCATGATATTAACTGAAAGGTTGGTAATACAGCAAATAGAAGAAAAATTATATCTATATGTAAATTGGATAATACATATCCTCCTAACAAACTACCACATATGCCTCCCAAAGCCATTGCCATCCACGACATTAACTGAAGATCTCCAGCGAATGAAGCCCTGACCAAATAATACAAGCACAGCACTTAATCAAAAAGTGTTTAAATAAATATGAATCAGAAATTGGTTCCTCTAACTAAATGGTCCTCACCAAAGACTAGTCACAAGCATAGCTAACAATCTTCTCCCATAGTGGAATCAACCAATTTGTTATTTCTTATCAAATGAAAATTCAGTCAAAAGTTTTTAATTAAAACTTTGGCTTGCAAACATAGATAGTCCCCACCAATTTTTTTTTTTTTTTTATACAGTGCGTACATAAGATTTAAAAAATGTTAGGTTCAGAACTATAGATAAAATTGTTTTTAGAGGAAGCTCCCCTTCAATAATTCATTATATTGAGCGATTGATACTTCCCATACTAAATCAGAGGCCAATCCAATGCAATCATAGAGGATTGAATATAAATATTGCATTTAGATGAAAGGAGAAAAAATTGTTTGAAACTGTGATTTGTGAGTGTAAATTTACACATGACAGAGAAATAATACAAAATCTCACACGTGAAAATTTCAAACCCAAAACTTTGGCGTAGCTAATTTTTATTTAGGAGTTAATTTACTGTCACCCCATTCAATATCCTTTCCAATCTTAAATCTTCTTTTTCCTCATCAATTCTTTGGTGATTAATAATTGATATTCACAGCTTTGGTTATATATTTTTTTGCATGCACATAATACAGCATATGGAAGTTCCTTTGGCAAATGCCTTAGAAAGAAGAAATCAGCATATAAACATACTGATCATATCTTGTGGCCTCCGCTATCATTGCATCAACCACAACATCTGCCATGGCTGAGCCCAAGTTTTGCACAGTTAAGAATATCATCAGATGCCATTTTGAATCCCTAGAGGTTGAATTTGAGCCTAAAATAAGCCACGGAACTAGAGAGAGCACAGTTGCAATTACTAGGTAGGGAATTCGTTTTCTTCTTCTAATTGGTATACAGTCAGACAATATTCTGCATAGCAGCAAGCAAATTAGATTGTAAGGAAGCGACACAATTGATGTAGTAAACATAAAGGCACACATATACACAATTAGAATAAGTAGAAGCTTTTAATTCTCAAGATAGTTTAGTAGGTTGAAGAATGAATCTAACCTGCACTAGTATGAACTATAAATGCCTGTTGAAAAATTAAAGACATTTCTAAATGAAAAGAAGTACATAGACATGGATTTTTTAATAGCATAGATTCAAAATTTCAAAGAGCAGCCCATAGATCAGCCACAAAAAGATTATTTTATAATTTTTTAAATTTATAGTACACTTCTATTAATTCCCCAAAATTTTTCTCCCTCCTTTTCTTACAATTTTTGTCCAATTACCAAATTTCAAAATAACTGTAAAATGAAAACTTACCTAAATTAAAATTACACTACATGATTTTATTTTTCAAATTAATCCGCATTACATGCTTCTTTGTCAACCAACTGCCAACTCTAGCATAACCTTCCCAATTAATCATGACCCTTTGGCACCACTTACAGAAACTTGGAGTCAACTAACTTACTCTCACTATGACTTACCTACATTTAAATTTATATCCTAACTTATTTTTTCTTTCTCCCAACTCCTTTCTACCTTTCTCTTACTAGAAATCAAGATAATTTCTATGTCATTACCTGCTTGGTTGGAAAAGACGATAACATTAACTTGACACAGAGTTCTGACTGTTATGGTGCCAGATCACTTCCAAACAAAGATATAATAAGCATAAAAGAGAATGGAAAAGAATTATACACGTTGACATTAAATGTAGTTCCCTCCTAGGCAATTGCAAATTAGTTATTGTACGCATGTAAAAGTCTTATTTTCAGTGCAAGTTATTTTATGTATCAAAATTCAATAACAGATGAAGCATCCAATGAACCATACCCATATAATGGTTTAACGCTCCATGGGAAAAATGCTACAGAAGATACATATTGAGATGCTGATGGCGACAATTTAAGTTTATCTTTCAGCTGGTAGGAAATTGCCGTCCAGACAAACGACCTGAAACCCTGCATCTGAAGAGTTAATATAGTGACAGTGTTGAAGAAAACTGGAAATTCAAATTTTGAAAGTATCCTCGTAAGAACATTGTAGAAACTGTAACTTCATAGGATGCTTTTATATATAGAAATTCCAAACCCTTCTTTTTATAAGGGGAAAATATAAAGATAAATGGCGACTTTACGTGAAAATGTATAGATATTAAAATATGTAGACTGAAAATGCTTTATGTCTGTAAGGAGTAGTGGTAATGCAAAAAATAGAACCCCAACACTTTACTATCGGGAGACAGATACGAAGTATGTGAAACCTAGTGCCAGTAACCTAAAAGCTAAGAGCAGAGCAGAAACACAATTTATACACGAAACCAAGCTCACGAACATTGAGAAGATGAATTGTTTCATTAAGGAATTGTAGTTGACAACAAATGATTAGGACGCAGATGAATCCCTACATCTAATTTGTTTTATGAAAGAACCCAAAAACTCGAAAAATAAGAGAATGAACCGCCCACCACTCACTGCGGCAAAACTCAACATTTCTTGAATATTCAAATACTTAGAAGATTTCTGAAAAAAAAATGTGAACCTAGCCATGGATCCTACTCGAAAAACCAAATATCATCAGGAAAGCCATGAAGGATGCAAAATTGAAACCTGAGTGAAGTAAATCGAGCATATCAACCAAAGAAAGGAAGCCCCAAATGCGGCTATTAACCGCTTCGTCCATTTGATCATCTTCGAAAAATCCCCCACCTAAAATTATACTCTTTTCAAACTTCTGCTGCTCTCTCGCGAATATATTCTATGCGATTTTCTGGCTCCCTGGTTCCGCTGATTTGCACTGAAGCGATGGGGTTCCCTCCCAACGGTATCAACCCGGGGGCGTTATATCCTTTTGACATTCGTATCCCATTGCCTGCTCGCAGAAATCGAGTGCAAAGAAATATGCAATTTTAATATAAAGGGACTGTCATGTAATTTCAACTTTACACGTCCCTAAGTCGAACCAAATGTTGCCACATAAGCCATCGACCCCACGAAGATTACAATGACATCATTAGACTTCGGAAGCCATCGCATTCACAGGCTAGGGCGTGTTAGTACCATGTGTCCTAACCTATTATAAAATGGAAGTACGCGCAGCCCTCTTCAAAGGACTATGGCCTACTTTTTTAAAAATGCTAGACATATTAATACTTTTTTTTAATTTTATTATAAATTTTAAATAACTAATTCACAAATTATAAATTATTAGTTAAAATCAATAAGTATATTAGAAATATAATTTTGTTTTCAAATATATCGTTATAATAAATTAAAAAAATAAAAGAGAATATATAAAAAAAATGTGATAAGAAAAAGTATGATAAAGAAGAGAAAATAAATAATTAAAGACAAAATCATAAAAACTACATTAAATGTTTAAACAAATCCCAATTGAGACTTGTAAAATAAGCCACATTTTTTTATAAATTTGAAGCTTATAAATAGGACAAGAGGGAGTAATTAATTACTCTGCCCTAAGTTTCAAATATATAACTTATGAATTATGATTTTTAAATGCTTTGTTATACTCACATTTTCGTGAAACCATTGTTAATCTTTTATAAAAATGTAGATATAATATAAAAATTTTAACGAATAGCATTAGTAGTGAAATATCCTCCTATTTACAGCTTTTAGTACGTATCTGGAAGCATTATAGTTTAAGCGGATCATGAAATAAGCTCGTATATTGAAAATTTAAAATTTGATTTTCGAGTTATTATTTACTGTTAAATTTCATATTTTTGGTACAATTTTGAAAATTCACAATTAATTATAAAAAAAATTACATTGAGATTATTCAAATCTCCATTCAAAGCTCTCTTAATTCTCTACAGAAAAAAATATATATGCTCATTTGGTTCATTTCCTTACTCATTCATTCCAAAATTACATATAAAGTTGTACTATTCATATGGTCAAACAGTACATTTTTAGATTCTCTGTCCTAAATTTGAGTAATCATATCTCTTAGTACACATTCATTTTGAGTGATCTATCACTTGTTTTAAAGTTTAGGATGTGTACTAGTTACTCACCAAATTTCATAAGCAAATTCACTCATTTACTTTACTTTTACTCTGTCACAAGTTCATCACTCATAATGGAAAAGTTTATCCTTTATTTACATTAACATGCTATAAACCTTCTTTATTTTACATAAAGTCATTCCAACAATTATTATACCATTCCCATATATTATTATACTCAATTATACATGTTATTCTCATCATTTATCATTACATAACATTGATAACATATTCATATCATACATCAACATAATAGAATTCATAATATACATGTCATAATACATTTCTCATTCTCTTCTCTTCATTCTTCAATTCCACGTCTTGCATTCTTCTTCCTTGCTCATAGAACCTATTATGATTGGTTAAGGGAGGGTGAGATTTGGGAGAATATTAATAGTAAACAAACCAGTATGTATGCAAGATGAATGCAAGTGTATGACATGTCTACCTTGTCTAATTCATGCTAGCAATTAACATGCTCTTATGCTTAATGTTCCATACCTTCATGCATGGCCATGGGGCAATTAGAAATAGAGGATCATTCATTAACATATATTTCATGTCATCATCAAATAACATTACACATATCAACACACAAGCATACATATACATATCAAGCATATAATAAAGGTAAGTTCACTATTTTATAACTTTAATCTTTCTTATCACCTTCTTTGGCTCTCTTTTGCTTCCAACCATTAAGGTTACTTGTTTAACCTTTCCCATTCATCTTTCTTGATATCTCATGACTCTAAATACATCAACACATTATTGCCATTTGTTTATTAAAGCCATAGGATCAATGACATTCAAGCTTTGCTTTTTAACATACTTTAACCTCTAACTTTTAAGCTTTTATTCCAATCTTTCTAAAATTAACTCCACGTATTACTCCCTCATAAGTTTTTATGTAGAATCCATTTTCAACCCCAAAATTAACAAAATCTAACTCCTTCCCTATGAACAAGTCTTGGTCGAAACTGTAGAGTTTAGGGTTCAAAATTTTATTTTGAATTCCAATGCTTCTAAACTTGCTTTACTTATACCTCACACAATTTTTCATTTTAAGCACATTAGAAGCATTAAAATCATCAAAATCCAACCCTAGTATCATCCGTAAGTATGGCCAAAATTCTCATGAAATTAGGGGACATTGGATTCCTTCCAATTTATCACAAAACCACTTAATTCATACATTTTCTTCCTCTTAATCATTAATCTAGCATCAATCAATCCTTTATATGGTTTAAACACTATTAGATAGCATATCACCTTAGGGTTTCATGCTTCCAAAACCCGATAAAAACCATAGCCAAGCTTTGCAAGACATGGAGTAACTTAAACTGCAGGGTATTGAAAGACGACGCGCAGCGGAAAAATTTTAAAACTTTCAATCCCTTTCCGGATCTACCGTTCGCGTTTAAGTCAGGTAGTAAGAAGCATTACCTTTAGGCGTTCGATTCCCTGGTGACTTGATGATTCGGCCGTTCAGGATGCTTCTGCTCGCCTCCTGTGTCGTTCGAAGTCGACAACTCCGGTCGGCTTCCTCTACCGGTATCCACACGAGTAGCCTTCAACCTCGAACGGCGTGCCAGCGCCTGTGTCCGTCTAGGGTTTTAGGAATCCGTCCTCTCTCCTCTCTTTGCCGTCTCTTAGGTGTTAGTTCTCTCTCGCTTAAACCCTAGCTCCTCATATCAAATATATAGGATGCTATATAGGTTTAATTAATAATATTTAATTTCGAAATTAACTCTAAATTAATTCCGAAATTAATACAATATCAAATATTGCCTAATCAGATAAGAGAACAATTAAATAAATATAGTTTAAATTAAATCCGTCTCACAGATTTAATTCACTTATTTATTTAATAAAGAGATGACGGAATTTATATATATTTAATTTATCCTTATAAATTAATATCTCTTATATATATATATATACGAATTTATATATTATATATGTACACGTCCACCCTATTTATTCATTGAATCTAGACATATCTTAGATTCAATGAATCTGGACATCATAACTCGTGTTGGGCTATTTTGTGTGCGACCCTGTAGGCCCATATGAAGTTGGCAGTGGGCCATTAACTATAATGACTCACAAGTCGTAAGCGGTCTCTAGCAAGACATCACGACTACCCAAAACATATGAGGATCATTGAACGATGCAGCCTTTCATACAACCATATCACGTCCCTTTTGTCACACGACATTTTGGTCATGGATGAGGCACGGAGAACGTCATCCTCCTATTCATGACCGTTACTTTCTCGATCCCTGAGTAGTCCGAGTATAGAAATGGAACTACCTTTCCATTATAGTATGGCCATACATTTCTCAGACTCACTCATCGAGGGGCCCAGTAATGTCTCTCTACGAATGTGAGGGACAAATTCCATCTTGACCATTCACATTCCTACGCATGAAAAACCACTAAGCCTGAACATAGTCTTTATGATCACTTGGTCAAAAGTGACTTTTGACTAGGTCAAAGCTAAGCGTTTCTCATGTATGAATCCATGATGATCTCAAGTCAAAGGGCACAGTGACATGGTTTGTATATGAGAGAAGCTTATGACTTAACCCATGCAGCTCTCTCATAGCGGGTCGGTCCAACACCTTGTACTCTTACATGTGCCTATGACTTTAATTTATATCTCTATATATCTTTAAAGTCATACTGGTCTTATTTCATCTTTGCTCCCACATAGATGACCGACCAGGGACATTTAGGATAAACCATGAGTTATCCAAGGATAGTTACCACAGAAAACATGCAAATAATATGATAACGTAATTGATAAATTCATAAATTAACAATGTTCAAAACATAATGATTGACCCCTAGGGCACAATTTCCAACATAAACTACATCAAAATCCATAACCATACCCTGTCTTGAAGCTTGGTCTTTTATGAAACTTAGAGATCTTTTTCCTTCTCTCTTCCTTTTCCTTAAACTCGAGCAAAATCTTCCCTCCCTATTTTTCTTTTTACCAAAATTATTTGAATTAGAGGATATTTATAAACAAATTTTTAGCTTGGATTTCCTATTTTGCCCTTGAAGTTAATTGAAATTACAAGGGTCTTGTGGCTTGATCTCTTACCATCTATTTAAGCCTTTTACCATGTTCAAATCCTTTGCCATACCACTTGATCTCTTGCCATATGTTACGCCACCTAATGCATATGTGATCATAAAACAATATTTTATTATGATTTAACTTCTCCAATTATATCCTTAGACAAATATTATAATTTCTTCCATGTCCTCTCATTAGATTAACATTAAAATAGGGAGAAAATAGGGAGAAATTCCTGCTCCCCCCATCCTTCACTATTTCTCCACCTATTTTATAATTTTACTTCGTATCGAGTACTTTTCTGAGTCATGACTTGCTCGGTAATATTGGGACATGTTTTGGCACCTTTTTTCATCACAAATAATTTCACATGGCATTATATGTGCATGTACATAGAGAGAGAGAGATGCTTTTCTCCTTGTCTCTCCATTGAACATTTAATAATATTTATTTTGAAGTAAACTTGACCAAATTCTTTTTATCGGTCAATGACTCTGAAAATCTATCTCTGGGTATCAATAACTCTTTTCTTATCACAAGGAATTTCTCTGATTTTCCTCAAGTCAAACTTTGACCTATAGGCACTCTATTTTGACTTTTCCTGAAGAGGGTACAAATAGGCTTTAAATTCTATTAAAACCAATCTCTACATATTACAAGGGCAGAA